ACCAAACAAAAATTTGGTTTGTGTTGTCCAATCAGATGTGATGTAAATCATTGTTTTAATCACATGATCGCAACTGCCATTTTTTTCCGCCACTACTGTACTTATATACAAAACATTAAAAAAAGTTTAATAGTTTAGCATGTATGTTAATTATTTATAAATTATAATTTATGCTTAATTAAATTTTTATATACTATTATCGTTATTATTATTAATATTAATTATAAAAGAACAATTATTAAATGTGTTTTCTTTAAAGAACTTTGGAAGTGAGTTGAATCAGAATTCTTTGTACAGAATCGTTTGCAATTCTAAAATAGGAACCTTGATTATAGAAGGAAGACGAAATAAAACCTTTCGTTTTAGGATCATTGGGTTCATTTAAATTTACTTTCAAAAATTTATAACTAGCTTTATTAGATCTTATCGATCAATTTTTATTTTTTCGTATTTCATTCTTTTTTCTTCAATCGATTTTTTTTTTTATTAATTTATTTATTTTTTTATAATTTTTTCTTTTTTTTTTTTATATATTCTTTTCGAAATGATTTTTGATATTTGAAATTAATTTCGATATCCGAAATCATTTCGATATTTGTTTGAAATTACTTTAAAAAACTTTCAAATATCTGATATGAAATTTGTATTTCAAACGGAAACCCTATATTTCAATTATATTCATAATCTAATATAAGCCACTTATATCAATAAAATAAAATAAAATTATATTATACTTGATTAAATTTAAGGGTTTTGTATTTACAAAAGCAGGTAATTACAAAATAATACCTTAAATAGAAAGTTAGTTTAATGTTTTAATCAAATGTATTATTAAAAATTCTCATTTTAGTAAAGAATATATTTAGTAATTAAATTTCAAAAATAGCTTTTATAATTAATTAAATAAAATTACATTTTAAATTTAAAATCAAAAAATTTAATTTTTAAATTTAAAATCAAAAATTTAATTTTTTAAATTAAAATAAAACATTACCCAATTTTGAAATTTAACTTTGACAACAACAAATTCGGTTATTTGATGTTCATGATGAAGATTTTAGCCACAAATCACTTAATCAAGTCAGGATTTATTACTTGAATAGACAACAAGAAAATGCGCCAATCATAGTCCCACAAGAGATGTTTCGTTAAAAAGTTACCTTCCTTACCCTTATTATAGAAATTCCGCGGATGATTTGTTTTAACGTTTTTAACAAATATTTTGTCATGAAATTTTTTTTTCACAAAACATATCCAATAAAACGAATTAAATAACATCCTTATCTGAAAATAAATTATTTTCCCAAATAGGAAAAATAATTCGATCCCGGTTAAATGTTGCATTTAAAAAATCAAGCATTAGAGTTTAGGTAATATGAAAAAGAATATCTACCACAAGGAGTAAAAGAACACAAATATGAAGAATTTTCTTTATTTATTATTGTGAAAATTTGGTGAAAAATAGCTTTCGGATCGCGGAGAACAACAAAAACGTAATCAAACCAATATCGTAGTTCTTTAATTGATGCATGTAATTATTGTATCTGGATAGAGATCGGTGAACAAATTGCATTGATCGTTGAAAATTTACAGTGGAATTAGCACTAGGTAAAAAGGTGAAGCTCATATATTCTTTTAGTACATTAAATCCCTGATTCACAAAGATCCATTCATTACCAATTCATTCATGTAATTCATAGTAAACCATTTTTAAGGGATCTTGAACAAAAAAATCCATTCATCATTTTACATCGCTCAACCCAATAATCCCTTTGAATCGTAATGTTCTATTTAATCATTGAATTCCATTTTCATTTTATTAAAAATAATTCCTGTAGATACATGTAGTCACATACAGTGACAAATATTTACCAGAATGAACGTTCCATAAAATTCTATTAGTCATTCATTAATTAATTAGTACGAAGATTCTGCATTCGACGCCTTTTAAAATATGCAAACAGTCATATTTACGTAATACCTCATGTTATTCATATATATTAAATTAAATAAACCCTAAATTATAAAGTCTATTCTTTCTTTTTCCCTTCTCGTTTTGATTAACTACAATGAATGCAATCGAGAAATAATGTGACACAAAAGCGAATTTCATTGTCATCATGTGCGTTTTGTGCGTTATGGTAAAAGCGAATTTATATCCTGTTTAAGTAACGATCAAAAGGACATGTATCTCATAAATAATATGCATCATTCCTTTCTTTCTTTTTTATTTTAAATTTGACAAAAATAAACAACGATACTCTGGGAACAAATCAGGTAAAATAAAGAGAGATTTTATTAATATTTATTTTTTTCAAAGAAAATGTATATATACAACAAGAGTCTGCGACACCCATTTTTTTTTTTTTTTGCAAGAACCCATAAATAATTCAATAGGTTCATAAAAAGGGAACAAGTGATTTCACATTTCTCATTATTTATGATTGTTGTGTTGTCGGTATTACACATTATTCTCGTTTTGAAGAAAAGTTTTAAAAGTTTTCCGCTTAATTTTTTTTTTTTAAAACGTACTCTAAACACCTAAACAAATTTTTTTTCCAAATTAATTATTTTAATTATCACCTTTATATATAGAAAACAATAATAAAGCTTTAAATAGACGCAGGGAACGTTTCTTTTTGGCATCGATTTACATCAAAATTACACATTTGTTTTCTGAAACAAATAACAATCGTATCATCTTGGCTAGTCTTGGAAATTTTATTAAGACCCCATTGTAAAATAACTAGAAATAACCGACATCATTACTTTTTTTGACATCAAATTACCCTGCTTATCTGTTTTAGTGCGTACAAATCCGGACATTAGAAGTCTTTTATTTTTTTTTTCATTCTTATAATCTCACTGAATTCTTCCACCTAATTTTTTTTTTTTTTTCTTCTCCATCTTACCGTTGAGCGGTTAATAATTGAAAAAAAAAAAAATTTGTTATTGTCCCTTTAAAGTCCTTTTTATTTTCTTTTTAACGACACTTTTTTTTTTAAGGTTTCCCTTTGTCCTATTGTTCATTTTGACCCTTTATAATTAATTATTTTACATTTTGCTCCTTTTTATTTGCCGGTTTATCAAAATAAAAACAATAGCAAAACGCATTCGTTATTATTTTTTTTTTTATTATTTTTCTTGCAAAAAATAAAAAATAAAAATAAACAAAAATTACCATATCTAAAATGATAAAAATACAATTACCTTTAACACAATCTTTAAAAAGAACAAGAACAACAAGAACGTCACATAAAGCGCATAACCTTGTCGATGTTACCACATTTCCTCATTTTATAAATCTTGAGGATTATGTACCGACCTCCATGCGTGGCAAGCATATTTTAGGTGAGCCTTTTCATTTCAAACTTATTTAAATTCATGTGTACCTTGGAAAAAAATTTTTTTTTCCTTTCTTTAAAGAAAATTTTAAATTCACATCAATTCATCTAACCGTTTCGTGCTTTTTGGTTTTTTTTTTAGTTCTCGGAGCGACCGGACGTTTGGGCGCACAGGTGGTAAACCAAGCGTTGGATGCGTCATATCACGTGACGGCATTGGTTCGTTCCGACCTGAACCTCCCTTTTACACGTTATCAACTCCGTAATCCGAATCTCGTAATAATGGTAGGATCGGTGTTATCCCGCAAGGATTTGGATAAGGTGATAGAAGGGCAGGATGCCGTGATAAATTGCCTCGGACCGCACCTCTTGTTCAATAACAATGATATTGACATATGTAGTCGATCCCAACAACTTATAATAGATTCCATGATAAATCATGGGGTACGAAGGTTAATCGTTGTCAGCACACAAGGGGTCGGTGACTCTAGCGTAAATATTAGTTCCACGCAAAAGTTCTTTGGTAGGTTATTCTCCGGAAAGATCTTGGATGATAAGGAGATGCAGGAAAAGATAATAATGAAATATTCCGATCAACTCGATTGGACGATTATAAGGCCCGGTAAATTGAGTAATGGAAATTTGACCAATAAATGGAGGTTAAATGATAATTTAACATTTACAAAGATTAGCAGAGCAAATGTTGCCTGTTTCATTATGAAAGAGTTGAGAAGTTCGGATTGGTTACAAATGGCTCTCACGATATCCGGGTGAACATGGGTATATATTAAATAATAGAAACAAAAAAAGTTTTTCGAAACTATATATTAATTTTTAATTATATTACCTTTCATTGTAAATATTAATTAAATAAATAAAATTATAAAAATTTTCTTAATTATTAATTGAAAAAGGTGGCTTTTTGTTTAGCTTATACACGTGAAAATTAAACGCGCCACTAATTGGAAAATTCTTTTATTAATTAGTTGAGATTAAGTTTTAAAAATTATTTGAAGTAATAAGAATAAAAATTATTTTTTTTTTTCTTTAGTTTTTAAAAAAAAGAAGTTGCTATATACATGATACATAATAAAACAACTCGTTTATTGTATAAGAAGAATCGTGAAAAAAGATTTATAAAATGCCATTTCCCATAACCACTTGAAAGAATTTTTAATCGTTATTTTCGTGATCATATAACCGATGTGCGGCAGCTTCAGCTGATATAATAACGATGTTAGGATCTATGTTGGGTAGGTGGAAACGTGCCAACAGATTTTGGGCTTCTTGAGCAGCCACCGCCTTGATATTTGAAATGGCCTGTAAATGAATTGTTTGAAAATCCTCGTAATATGGCATGGTATGCATCTTTGGTGGTTGTGATCGAACAGCCTGAAAGAAGATGAATTTTTTTTTTAGTTTTAGTTTACTGGATCGAAAAAAAAAAGAAAATAATAGAGAAGTTTACTTTGTATGCGGCAGCACCTGCTATTGCGGCAGGTGATATTGGGAACCTTGGATCCGGACCGTAAACGTAGATCTCATTGTAATAGCGTTCCATTTGAGCTAGTAAAGTAATAAAAAAAAAGGGGGTTAACATTTCCATTTTCTCAAAGGAAGTCTCAAAGAAAATTCAAAGCATACGCTCGAAAGTATTGTCAAATTTACCTGGATCAGAACCGAAAGCATCTGGAACAAAAGCTTGGAAACCTCTTAGGTTGAAACCGTAGGCGGTCTCGTTATGTTCAAAGGTTGTTGCGAACATTCTTTTAAAAAAAAAAAAAAGGTTTACGTTGGTTTGTTTTTTTAGAGGATGAAAAATATTTTTTAAAAAAAAGTATTTGGTTGATTGCGAAATAATGTTGTGATATAACAATTATGATTATAAAGATTTTTTTTTACTTTACTTTGTAGAATGAAGAAAAATGTTGAGCTTCAAAGTAATGGTGTTTATATAGGAATATCGAGAAGTTCAATCAAGTATGATTGTAAATGGACTAATTAAAATTTTTAAATGGAGGATGATGTCATAATGAAATCCGTCCACTAAATAATGAATTACCAAAATTATAATTCGTGGGAAAGGGAGGAAGTTTCGAGATTTAAGAACAAACGAAAAAAATGAATTTTGTGTGGGGTAGGTACATGATAAAAATAGTAATTCCAATTGCTGAAATGCATCCGGTTTTTGTTACAAGTGGCGTGCACCATTGTGGAATATTCAGCCATCCTTTTTAACCACTTATGGGGTGTCAGGGATTGGTAACCCGAGTCAATCCCAATCATTTGAGGATTACAACAATGTACGTTTCAATCAATCACCGAATTTTTTTTTATTCAAAATTCTATAACAAAATAAAAAAACTTTTTTGTCCAATTAGTAACACATTTTTATTTGTTTTAAAAAATCGTTCGATTCGGTTAAAAAAAAAAAAAAAAAGCAACATGTAACTTGTGTGAATACCAAAATTGATAGATCTTCTCTACCCCAAAGAAACCATTTTTTATACATCATTAAAAAAATTTTTATTTTGTACGCCAAACAAGTTTACCTAGTTTTACTTAAAACTATGTTATGACAAATATCACATTACCGAAGAGTTCTTTTAGAACCTGTTGGAGTGTGGGGTGAGAAAGTGCTTTTGTTTGTTTATGTAAGGCTTAATGAATATTGTTTGATTGTTTCTGCCCCTAAATTAACATCTTTTAAAGATTTATTAATTATGATTCATGATGACTTTTTTTGATTCGCACAAAAAAAAAAAAAATTCTTTTTAATTTTAAGGAATAATGGAATAATGGTAAAGATATTATTACTCATGATCACGTTATACACAAATGACCATATACACAAAATGTTTGGGTAAACGTAGTTCAAATTACACAATAAAAACACTTTTTATTATTGTAGCACACCTAATTACAGTAAAAGGAAGAGATCCACGGCTTGGCTTACATGCAATTGCACTAATGATAAGATTCTGATTAGATATGATTTAATTCTAAAATTAGATAACAATCTTAATTATTCTGTTCAGAAAAACAAAAAAGAGGCGTTTAAGCCAAATGATTAATGGCGTAAAGTCATTCCAAGATCTACATCAAAGCATCATACGACTTTGTTCTAGTTTCTTTGTGGAATTGCTCTTTTTGGGGGGAAGGGGAGGTGGGAATCGAGCTTGTTATGGTCATTAAGCCATGATTTGTAGGGTCATGCAAGGTTAAAGGCGATCGCAATCTATACGTTTCATAACTCAAAGAAAAAGAAGAATAAGGAGGAAAATGTATTTACAATGTGCTCATAACTCACCATTGTAGTACAACTCATCCAATATTCATGATCGGAAAAACTTTTTTTCGGTTGTGCTAAATAATAATTATTATTATGGAAATTTTTTTAAAAAGGTAAATATTAATAATAATTTTCCGCTTCAATATAAACGAAATCTCAAGATTTTTTTGTTTTTTTTTTTTTCAAACTATTTAATCTCGCTCCTTATTAATTAATATAAACAAAAAAATTTATGAAGTGTTGCGTTGATTTTTTTTTTTAAAAAAAAAATTCTTGGTTACATGATAATGAAATCTTTAACCTTTAGAGAGTCCATCTAAAGTTTATTATTATTATTATTATTATTGCAACGTGACGTGACAGATTCTTTTTTTCGAAACATGATGTAGATTAGGGAATAATATCTCAAAAAGGTTGATACCTATCTTTGTTACAAAAAAGGAAATGAAATTGACAAATAAAGAGTTGGATGTTGTGTGTTTAACCAATTGTAACTAAGACCGAGCTCGTTTTTTTTAGGCAATGTGACGATCGGCCGTTTCGCATGGGCGCAACTTTTAAATAAAGAACACGCGCTTATTGTTCCAAAAGAATTAAAGTAATTACTGCATTTGTCCCATACGATATATAGACCGCCTTGTTAACTTTATTTTAATCTTTTGAAGCACAAAGTGTTCACTCAATCTTATATAAATATGACCCCAAGCAGCTCGAGAGAAAAAAAAAAAACAATTCTCTCTTATTTAATAAAAAAAGTCCCACAATAATCTCAACTTGACGTTGAATTATTTCTATTAAAAAAAATATATATAATTTCAAAATATTGCTCAGGTAGCATTAAAAATCTCATCCTCAAATAATATAAACCACCTAAAAATTTAATTATGAAATTCTCAACAATCTTCGTCTTCTCTCTCGTTACCTATGCTACTCTAGCATCAGCTCAAAATTTCCGTGAACAGAACGCTGATGATGCCGAAAAATTACAAAAACAATTCGATAAATTGTCACCAAACTCACCATGTAAAGTAGGAGATGCTTGTGTGAAAGGTCAATTCGCTCAATGCGTTGGTGGAAAGTTCGTTTTAAATTCTTGCGGTGGCGGTGAATTAAAATGTGTTGTTTTGCCTTTGGTTAATAAAAAGGGGACATCTATTACCTGTTCCACCGAAGCTGATCGAAAAGCTCGTCTTGCCGATGCCCGAAAGGGTAGTAAAAGCAAAAAATCCAAATCCAACGATAAAAAACAAAAGAGACAAGCAAAAGGTGATATAGCAGTAATTCGAAAAAAGAATGCCGATCAAGCAGAAGCTTTACAAAATAAATTCAAATCATTTAAAGAAGATCAAAAATGTGCAGAAAATGAAGAAGCCTGTGTTGGTGAAAAATTTGCAAAATGTGCCAATGGAAAATTCGCCTTGTCCGCTTGTGCTTCCGGAACAAAATGTGCCGTTTTACCTTTAGTTTTGAAGGAGGGCGTTTCTATTACCTGTACCACTGAAGCGGATCGTGTTGCTAGACTTGAACAAGCTAGAAAAAATGAATGAATGATTTTGTGATTAATTTTAGGAATTATATATATTTTTTTTATTATTGTAACGTATATTGTGGGATCAATAGAGTATCCATAAGATACTCAATTCCTTTCTTTGTTTCATGCTTTAATAAAATAATAAAGATTGTTTTTTATTCTGTAAATATCGATTTTGACCTGATTTTTTTTGCTTGTACAAATGCTTGATACGTGGTCGATTTAAAAGTTCGTAATATACTTGAGTTATTAATTTTACAGTTCGGAATAAATTATTTTTTAATAATATTAAATCGATACCTTTTTATATTCTTTTAAAATCAAAAAACTTGTGACTGTGATACGAATTTTACTAAAAAAGTTGTTTTGAGACTACAAGAAAAAAAGATCAGGTATAATAATATATTTATGCAAATATTTCCATCTTTTAGATGATCTAAAAGGTTGTAATATTAAACGTAACTTTTAAAATTAGAATAATAAGATCATTATATCAATTAATAAGTTGTTATTAAATAAAATATTACATATTACAGATATTAATATAACATATATATAATTACTTAATTAAAAAAAAATAAAAGGATTATATTATGAGGTATGTATTAAAAAAAGTGTTGAAATTACATTTTAATTTTTAAGTAAAATAGATTTGATTTTATTATTGATATAAAATATTTATTATTTTTTTTTTTTTACAATTTGATTCCGTTTTTCAATATTTATTTCTTACTAAAATATAAACTACTAAATATTATAAGAGTATCTAAAAGTTTTTACTAATAAGATTCAAAAATAAATGTAAATATTTAAAATTTTATAGTTTAAAAAAATTTTAGATGTTTAATTAATATATTTGTTAGTATATATAAAGGAAATTAAAAAAAAAGAATTAAATTGATATCAAAAAATTTTTATTTTTTAATGTAGATTAGCTTAAAAAACATTTTTATTTAATATAAAAAGAAAATTATTATAATAAAATACTGTGATAATTTTTTATTATTTAATATATATAGTAATTTAATTATATAGATGTTTTGCAATAAAAAAGGAAAAAACTACCAAAAAATTTTTTTATTAATATTAAATTTGGATTTATTTTATTAAAAAATATAAAATTACTATATAATACTGCTGGTTATTTTTACCAGTGTCACATAGCTGTGTAAATGTAGCTTATGTAATGATTAAATTTTCATAAAATAAACTTTTTTAGCTTAACTTTTCTTTTATGTTCACTCTTTTTATTATATTCTTTTTTTTTAAAAGACTCATTTATTTTATATGTTTAAATTTACTATTTTTTTTTGTTTTAAAATTTTTTTTCGTATTTTCTATTGTGAAAATTTTTTTTAATAATAGAAGATTATTATAAAGAATTTTAACAGTCTCAAATACAACTGTAAATCTCTAGAAAATGATAATTTTGCAAACATAATAGACAATGAGAGTAATATTATTAAAATATCTTACAATTAGTGCTAGCTAAAAATTTATCTGAAGGACAAACTCTTAGCTAACACTAATCATGACTGGATATACTAGCTATTAATTAAAATTAAGTATAAATTAGATAAAGAAAATAATTAATTTAGCATTTAGATTACAATATGTATTAATATTTTAATAAGTATTACTAGTATATAATATATTATTTATTTAATAAATATAATGCAAGTATATAATACTACTAAGTATATATGTCACATAACTATATACTAGTAAAAATTATCACTAGTATTGAATAGAAAACTTGTAAAAAATAATATTTAATTTATAAAGTAAAAAAATTTTTATAGTAATTTTTTTCCTTTTTATTATAAAACATCTATATTTAATTATATTTTATATATTTATATATATATAATTTAAAATTCAGCTATTCAAAAATGATTTTTAGATTTTATATTAAATTTATTTTATTTAGTTAAAAAAAGTTAACTTATTTATAATAAAAATAAAAATATTAAAATTACTAATAATAATAAAAAAAAAAAAATTAAATAAATATTAAAATATTAAAAATATTAAATAAAAAAAATATATATAAAATTATAAGTTAACAAAAATAATAATTTAGTAAATAAACTGTTTATCTGTATTAATTCATACTATAATTTTAATATAAATCTATTTTAGAGTAGATTATAATGTTTATTTTCATTTATTTTCATTGTTTTGTAACCTTTTTATTATTAAATTGAAATATTTTTCTAGTATATTAAACTCTTTTATAATTGTCTTTTATTCTGAACATATTTTATTATTTATCTTAATTCATTTTTTGCTATGTAACTTTTAAATTTATAGGAAGTTAACTATTTAATAGTCTCTTCTTAAGTCAATTTAGGTACTAGTTTCTGCATTGTGAATACTATAATAAAGTGACCAATTTTTATATAAAAAAATTGTATTAAGTCATAAAATAAATTTGGTCAGTATTATAACATAACTCTGATCAATCTTTAAAATATATGATTTGAAAGATTTATCTTAATGCTATTGTGAAATTGGTAAAGAGCTAAAAAAATTCTATTAATTTGTTAATTCTAAATTATTTTATATCAGCTTTGATGCTGAAATATTATATTTAAAGTTCTAATTAAAATTATGAAATAATATTGACTAAAATAATTAATAATTTACTATGCTTTATTGCATCTTGAGTTTCAGACATTGTTTTATCACTTTTTTATTACTTTTAAGTCATTTTTAAATTTTAGTCTAATAGCTTAGTTAGTTAACAATTTAGAGATACAATATAGCTAACCCATTTAATTTTCTGAAAATACGTTATTTTCAATTCAACTATCTCTCTACTAATAACATAATATTTATAAATTTTTGAGTATACTTTTATATAGCTCCTTTGTATTTTTAATATAATTTCTTTATATTTATACTTATTATACTTAAGAGAACTAAGAAAAATAGAAATTATTTCTAAAAAAAAAAATTCATGATAGTACTAATCTATTTGTAATATGATATCATTATTGTATATACAATCAAAGTTCTCTATAATGAATTTCAGTATTCTGAATTTTGTATTATTACGAATCACATTAATAATATGAAATTTTATTAAATAAAATAATTAAATACAATGAATTTTTATAGTAAATTTTACTATTATGTATAACAAATTCAAAAATCTGTACAAGTATAATAAAATAAAGCTTTTATTAGTGAATTTTTTTATAACGAATTTTTATGAATTTATTTTAGCAAATTTTTATATTAAATTTAAAGAATATAATAAATTTTTTTAATTGCAATTAATAGAAATTATAAAATCAAACAATCATGTGAATTTTTTGATAATCAATTATTTTATTTAAAATACCTAAAGAACAAAGAAAAAAAAATTCTCATAAAGGTAAAGAGAAAGTTTCTGATGTAAAATAAATTAGAGCCTCTCCTATAGGTGCTCAAAAACAAAAAGATTACCAAAAAAAGTTGTAAAAATCAACATTTAAAAATAAAGAACTTGTTAAAGAGTTTGGTATTTTAGAAGGAATGATATGTGATATCTTAAAAAAAAGTAAAAAATGGTTAGCTTTAAAATTAGATTCTTATAAAGCTTCACTAAAAAGACAAATTAAACCAAATTTTTCACAAATTGATAAAGCTTTGGGTTTTTAGGTTAATAAAGCTATAAATAATAATATTACTATCAGTGGCAAATTATTTACACAAAAAATATGTGATTTCACAATATTACTCAATGTACAGAACTTTAAAGGGTCTGATAGATAGGTAGTAGATTTTAAAAAATGCTATAATCTTGAATGCTACGTTAATACAGAGAGGTAGTAAGTGCTCTTTTAGATTTAGATAATATGCATATAGATCTTCAAACTATTTTTAAAGAATATTTATTTGATGATATCTTTAATATAGATAAAATTACATTTTACTAGAGAATGGAACCAAATCATACTTTATCAATTGGTCTAGATAATTTAAATATTGATTAATATAAAAATTAATATAAATAATTATATAAATGAAAATAATACTTATCTTATAATAGTTGTAAGTAAAAAATAATCTAAAAATTATGTTACTATTGCAGTGTATTGTAATACTACAGGAACTAAAAAAGTAAAACCAATTTTATTGGAAAAAGTTAAAATTTACGTGTCTTAAAACATATTTCAAAATTAACACTATTAGTGCAATATTATTGGAATAAAACAGCATATATGCAAGTTAGTATCTAGAATGTTTGGCTAAAACTTTTTGATTTATATCTGAGACTTCAGAATAGATATATAATTCTACTCTATAATAATGCATCCACTTACAAATTAAATGAAAATACTATACTTTCTAATATTTATTTTTATAAGTTATCTCTTAATACAACTTCACACCTTCAACTATTTGATACTAGGATTATTTATAACTTTTTGCTAATATTATAGAATCCCAAATCTTATATTATATTTAAAATTACATATCCCATATCTATGTCTCAAATTTTATTTAATTTATAATATATTTTAAGTATATTTTAATGTTTCTGTATTTTTTGTTATATTTCAAAAGATATCATATTAACAATATTATCAAATAATTATACCAGTTGAAGTAACATAAGGTTTATTCTATGTATTTTAAATATCTTTTATTAATGAATGAGCTTATCGATCAATAGTATTTCGCACAGATTCAAATCTATCAGATTCAGATTTAATTCAGATTCAGATTTAGATTAGATTTGATTTATTAGATTCTAATTCAAATTTAAATCTGATTTGTTAGATTTGAATTAGATTCAGATCTAATCTGTCAAATCTGAATTCAACTTTTATAAAACTAAAAAGTTCCTTTTTAATAAAAAGAAATGAATTTTTAAACTTTTTTAGAACTGAAAAGTTTTTTTTATTAAAGGAAATGAATTTTCAGATACTTTTAGATCTAAAAAATTATTTCTTTCATTGAAAAGAAATAAATTTTTGGATTTCTTTTAGAACTAAAAAGTTTATTTTATTGAAAAAAATGAAT